GGAGTTTATGAGTTCATATTTTATAATTAACGTTGCCAGCAGGGGAGTTTGATTAATACCGAGCAGTAGATTTTGAGCAATGTTCCATACAAATTGCCAAATTTAGCAATAAAATAAATTGGTTATGTGAACATAATTAGTAGGATGACTACTTAAAATTCAAAACCAAATGTGAATAATTCCAAATCATCTGAGCCACAAATCCATTATTTGTGTAGAAGGGGGAGAGGATAGCATTCGTGTTTTATTTTGCCCTCAACCACAATGTTATCCACCACCAAGCTGAACATAATGAAACTCCTACAATGGGCTGGGATGACATTTTAGAGCTATCTAGAAACACACATATATGCACATGTGTACACACATACACACACACACACAGAGGGAATGTAGCAAAAATAAGGAATGTTAAATTGCGAATTTTCATGATAAATCTGAAAACCTATAACACATTTTTAACAAATGCTGTGTTCCAGTTTTCTGACGTACTCTATTACATCAACCTCCGAGGCAAACTTACCCAGAGGAGCTTTTTACCTTTAAACAGCTTTAACCTTTAAACCCTTTAACCCTTTAACCCTTTAACCCTTTAAACCTTTAAACCCTACCTTATTGTCCCCCTGGACTTCTCCGAGCCTTTGCTGAAGTTCTTTAATTTCTTCTCCCAGATGTTTGTTTCGGTCCTGAGAATCTCTCAATAGTTGTGCAAGATTAGCCTGGAAATAGCGACACATGAAATTAGAACCTAACTGCAGAATCAGAAACAAAGGACGGGATGAATCCTGGGCTCCATGGGGCTTGTCAAGGCTGGTGCCCATCAGAGTAAACACACACAGGAAGGTAGCAAGGGTTCAAACAGGGCCACGACCAGGACATGGAGGAAAATCAAGTTGGCCGTGACCCTCAATTTGGGGAAGTTCTTTGCTTCCAGAATGGCTTCCGGAGGCCACTTGGACAAGCAATGGAGAGAGGAGTCTTACCTGACTCCCCTTCCCCCCCACCGCCAAAAAAAATCTTTTTAAGAGCTTATCACTAAAAATGTTGAAAACAGATACAATGTCCAATCTGAAAATTTAGGCCCATGACATTTGAAAAGCTTCATTTTCTTGTTTGGGTAGGTCCCTCACGCCCAACCTTCAAATATACAGTGTGTCCGTAAAGTTCATGTGCAATTTCCAACGTAAAACTTTTCTTAGTTGCACACCAACTTTATGGACGCCCTGTGTCTTGTGTACTGAGTTTTGTCTTTGCTACTTCCACGCCCAGGATTTTGATCACAACTCCAGGAGGCAGCCTGGGAAGAAGTCAGTGATAAGCCATAATTTCTGAAATTGGGATGCAGAGGAAATTCAAGCCTCCTGGGCTGGTCTTCCTACCTCTTACTTCCTTATTCTAGCTCACATAATACCGAACAGCCATCCCTGTCTTTTGGCTCCCAACTTTACGGTGTCATCCCTTTCTTAAGCTCTGCCTCTTGCCCAGACACGGGTCTCTCTGGTCAATGTGGCCGGTTCTCCACGAGCCTGCCCTTTCAGTCCAGCTCCGCCTCACGGCCTCATGCCCCCCTTTCCCAGGGCATACACACCCTTGGCCATAATCCTGTCCCTTTTCCAGGTTCCTTGAGCCTGAAATTGCCAACTCTCCCCATCTAGCTACCCACTTGTGACTCCCACCCACATTCCCCCTCACTCACCCAGCTTCTTGTGTACCGTGGTTCTTATGTTGCCAAGTGTAACTTGCTCTAAGTCTCACCTGAATTTTCAGCTTCTTATGGAACCTTACCAACAAGACACCACAAACAACTGAAAGGCAGAGATTCTGCCTCCTACGCCCTCCACTTCTACGTGTGTTGCTCCACACGGTGCCTGCGTGCCCACAAGTGTTCTAAAGTCTCGTGGTAGACACATGAAGGGGAAAGGAAGGAGGGAGGAAAGAGAGCAGTCAAAACACCACTTCTGGGAGAGAATCATTCACCAAGAGTCAGACAAGGGATGGTAAAGAAGACGTCCTGGGCTCCATTCCTATTATGGCCAAAGAAACCAAATCCAGAGACGTTAGGGGACTAGCCCAACTGCAGTGGCTAAATTTCCAAAGACTTGAGTGTAAATACTTGGAGGAATAGGAAACTATGTTAGGTACTGCAAAGGGAATGAAAGAGAAAGAACATAAAGATCAAATCTCTGCTCATCCCCGACTCCCCGCTTTATCTCATCTCTATACCCCACCTGCTGGGGTATCCTGTTGTTTCTACCTCTCGCTCACCTCCTTGGGTCCTTCCTCCCACATGTAGTACCAGGCCCATCCCGTCTCAGCACCAGGGCACTGTTCTCTCTCCTGGAATGGGAATGCTCTCCCTCCACACAGCCCCTGGGCTCATGCCCTCAGCCTTCTCCAGTCTTTGCTCAAAGGTCGCCATCTCAGCAGGCAAGGTGACTCTCCTAGACCACTCGATTTAATACTGCAACCTTCCCACCTTCCCTGGCACCACTTTCTTTTTTCTAGAGCATTTTCCATCCTTTAACACGCCACATCATTCCCTTCATGGTTTATTGCTCAGTGTTGATTTTCTGCCTCGCTCTTTCCTAAAACCTAAGTTCCATGAAGGGTGAGAATCTTTGTCCTCTCTCTCGACCTCTCCTAGTAGATGCTCCCACAAGTACTTTTTAAATGGGAGACAATAAGCTGAGTCTAGGGGTGATGGTCTCACCCTAGGGAGGGATCTAGAAAAATAACAGCAGCTACCAACACTAGAACCAGTGCCTGGCATGGAGTTTTGCACAGAAAAAACTCACCCCCACTGGCTGCACTTAATCAAGCCCTGATCTCCCACTCACTGACTGGTGAACATTAATCGATAATTCCATCTAAAGTTTCAGCCCCATATTTGTAAAACTCTTATCTTGTAATAATTGGGTAATGTTTGTTCTTGTAAGATAAAAATGTGGTAATGGATGAGGAAAATTAATTTCCATTTTGTAGGTAGGAAAGTAAAGAAACAAGAGACATTATGCCCAGCTGACTGTTCTTAGATATTTTCTGGATGGAAGGAACCATTCCAGTTCTGCCACTTACTGCCCTGAGTTTCTTTTCTTTTCTATTTTTGCAGTTTTTGGCCGGGGCTGGGTTTGAACCTGTCACCTCCAGCATATGGGACCAACGCCTTACTCCTTTGAGCCACAGGCGCCGCCCATGTGCTGTGTTTCTTAATCTATAAAATGGAGCTACAAATGTATATTGTAGGGGGTGACTGGATCCTTAACAATGAGCACAGAATACTCACCACTGTGCTCAGCATACAGTAGGTGCTGGTTAAAAGCTGGGTATGTCCATTGACTATGCCCTTCCAGTGGCTCCAACTCAAACTCTCAGTGAACAGAGACGTCTGGACACAGCAAAGACCTCCTTGGATACAGCTGGTGCCTTTGTAATCCTGCCTTTTCATTGTTGATTATTCATTCATTCATTTATGTAACAAATATTTACTGAGGGTCTTCCCTGTGCCAGGTGCTGGTTTAGAACTGGAAATACAGCAGGGAACAATACAGAAACCTTGCCCTTGCTAACTTGCATTTAATTGATGATATTGCATTAATTATATCCTATTACAATAGAGCTGTGAACCAAAATGAAATATTAAGCTCCCCAGATGACTGAGTGGACTCCCCTGTTGGCCAAGGGAGCTCCAGAAAAACCTTAAAGGTGAGTTTCTGGCTATGAGGAGAAGGGAGGTCAAGCACAATTCCTTTCGGCATTACTTTGCTATAATAAGATACTAAATCATTAACAGGCCTAAGGCCATGCAAGGCTCAGCTTAAACCACACCTGCAGACCACTGATTTGCTTAACAGATCACTTAAGATTTGGTAAATAACTTCAAACATTCCAAGCCTTTAGACCAAACTTCATTTCTATAACCAACTACAAATCAAAGGATCCTTAAGTCCACATAAACTCGTAAGCCCCCTCTTTCTTGGAGATGTCCCACTTTCTCAGGCCAAATCAATGGATGCCTTTTGGGGACTGCATATGCTCTTACACAGAAATCCTGTCTCCAGCATGTAGAAAATCAGACTGTAACTTGGCTACAGGGCACATTGTCTCAGGACCTACTGAGGCCATGTGCCCCTGCCCTGGCTGAGCACTGTGGTGAGCATTCTGTGTTCATCTTTAAGGATCCAGTCACACACATTTGGCTCAGAATAAACCTGTCCAAATTTTTTTTTTTTTTTTGGTTAATAGAATATATAGATTCAGTATTACAGATAATACATGTTGCAGAGAAAAATGAAAAAGGTGAAATGGGCTGGGCACAGTGGCTCACACCTATAATCCCAGCACTCCAAGAGGCTGAGGAGGGAGGATTGCTTGAGTTCAAAACCAGCCTGTCTCTACTAAAAATAGAAGAATTATCCAGGCATTGAGCCTATAGTCCCAGCCACTGGGGAGTCTAAAGCAGGAGGATTGACTGAACCCAGGAGTCTGAAGTTTCTGTGAGCTAAGCTGACACCATGGTATTCCAGCCTGGGGCAACAGAGTGAACTTTGCCTCAAAAAAAAAAAAAATGCAAAAGGGTGTGTGTGGGAAAGGGCCACAGAGGCCCCTGGGAAAAGGCCACACTTAAACCAAGACTTGAAAAAGGAGAGGGGGGTCTCGTGCATATCCTGGGCCAGGAGTTCTCGGCAGGGAAAAGGCAAACCAACCCATCTCACTCCCTCCACCCCCTCTACATCTCAAAACTTCCACTTGGGAGAATAGTTCAAGGCCACAAGAGCAGGCTGACCACAGGGACTGCAGTGACGTGGAGAGATGACTCAATTCTTGATTGTCCTGGTTCCCCTCCTCTGTCCACAGTTCTTCCTCCTTACACAAAGTGTCACATGTGGGTGGCCTCTGCCTTTTCTGCACAGAACTCCAGAATATTCCCCAGACATTAGCTCATTGATCTTTTTCCTACCAGATGGAGGGACAGGCCGCAGCAGCAGCAGCGTCTGTCCCAGGGGAGTGGCAGGAGGACAGCTCAGCGCTGGCTCTGTCCAGAGCCGGCTGCCACCTGCACACGTTCAGGAGAATCTCAGCATCCCCCTCTGGAGGAGACGCAGCAAAATTCACCCTGGCAGGAGCTTTCTTTTAACCCATGGAAGAGATGCTCAAAGAAATGCCGTTAAGAGCAACCATGAAAACTTAACAAAAGGTAACAGCAAAAAGATTCTACAACCTCCCGAATCTTTCCTCTTTGAATCAATATGCCTCGGGTCTTGGGTGGGCTGGAAGACCCTGACATTCGCTGCCCGACGAACCTGCCGTAGCTAAACCAGTACAATCCAACCTGTCAGGGGTGCAGCACCAGTTTTCTTTATCCAATCCATCATAGATCAGTACTTTAAACAAATATGATAAAAATGAATTACTAGGAAAATAAATGTCAGAAGACATCCAGATAAAAGCCGTATTTATTGTTCGATTTGACAGACATAAAATCTGCCGTCAAATTGCTGTACAAATTTCTAAACACGTCCTCTCAATTGCTGAACTTGTGGTGAACCAGATACAATTAGCTTGCAGCCTCGCACTGGTCCCGGGACCCCACTTTGAAAAGCATTGAGCTCACTCAGAGGTGCTCCTGGGTATCTGGATACTACAGCAAGGCAGACACCAGTAGAAACATCCGTCAGTGGTTCCAATGACAGTTGGGACAGAGGACAGAGATGCTTTAGGA